TGGCAATAAAGCCATATGGAATACAGCAACAGTTAAAATATACATATCGTCGAGTACTCGTATCTTCCGGAAGTGGTCGTGATGGGCAGATAAATTGAATCATTGATGGGATGTCCTCGTGCGGACCGGAAGTTCCGCCGGCACCCGTCAATGTAAGTTCCGCTCGTGGTTAAGTTTCAGATTGACGCGCCCAATTTAGTCTAAATTTGTAACTAATCCATCTAGCCCTGATCAGTTGACATTAATTACATTCCAAGCAGGATAAACTCGGAGTGCCTGTCTAACTATATCGAAGACGAGGTGACATTGTGGGTTATGCTCAATAATTACTTCAAGGAGTTTTGACATGTGGGGGGAACGCAGTGGGTTGGTTCTACTAAAACACGTCGTACACATGAATACATTCTGATATAATAGCGCTAGTCGGTCTGGTTAGGAGAGTGGTTAATACTGAAAATTACAGCCCATGACGTAATCGGTAACAATGATACAAATGCCGTAATCATTGCAACTAGCCGGCGGGCGCCCATCGGCAATGTATGCCGCAGTAACCAGTTTCCGCATTGGACGTTGCAGTACAATCATAGTACTCAGGTATATTCGGAATCGTCATCAAACTGTGTCAGTGGCTCATAAACGCACAACTTAGTGAAGCAGAACTCGAGTGTTTAGTGTAGGCAATAAACCGTGGATCGAGGAGCTTTATAACAAAAAGGCGAGCTCTAACGGACATTACTGAACAGTACATTTGGTTCGCATCGTCGCTCTCGCTCAAACGAACCCCGAGAGCCGTCCTTCAGCGCTCAACACCTTTGTGCTCTAAGGAACTTCTGGTCTGTTGAACCGTGATTCGTAAAAGACTAATGATGTCCCATTTTCAGGTGTATTTTCTATTTGTACAAAATAAGGATCGTTTTACGATTCCATTGATATTTTTGCAATAACTGTATCGGATTTTATGTTACGTTTGAGTAGATTATAAGCTTCGAAAATAATATTGAAACGAAAAATCATTTAATAATGCCAAAATGGCCGACGTAAACGTTACTGATGGGGCATTTTATTACAGTGAGAGATGCGCCTTAACTGACATTAATTTATTAATGACGCAAATGACCGATGCGACAAAACTTTGTAATTTATTCATGGTATTTTCATTATTAACTTTTCATTTTGCGAGTGCGACTTGCAGATTGTGGGAACTTAATACAAACAGGGGTGTCACTGAAAGATGCAACAACTTTAGGGGAAAATGTGGTTGTCGCAGCTTTTGTCAGGCGGTGGGGTGGTTCCAGCGAGATAGGGGTTGGGACAATCAGCGACGTAAGACGTTTATCGTTACTTTTCCCCCATAAATCTCCTCTAAAAAAAAAGAAATATTTTTTATTTTCCAAATCTCTATAAAAGACTGTTAGCTACGAAATCCTTAGTTTTTTTGCTTTGAAGAGGGTGAATTTAGCTTAAATATTATTGTTTTGTTTGATATTTCTGTAGGAGTCATTTGTTTGGATAAGTGAAAATGTCAATGAGACTAGACTCTTGAAAGTCAGAGTTTGACATTTGAGTTAAGCTAGTTGTTCCAAAGTGTAGGTGTTCGGGTGTAATATTCTTTATCCAGTCTTCTGAGATAAACAGAATACTATTTTAAAATTGTACAAAAAATCTACTGTTATAAAATACATGTCTAATTATTTTACTGTGCAGATATTTAGTAGACATTGACATGAGAGTTTACTCTGTAGAGGTTCTCTGTATTTAAATACGGCCATACATTGGCCCAATGCACTTTGCTTTCATTGTTAAAATTAAGTGCGTCAGTCAATTAGTGGGCTGCCCATGCATACGATACAGGATATAAACTGAAATCTGATGGAAGTAATAAAGATGGTAGCTCCACCGAAATAACTTTGCACCGTATATTTTAAGCGATAGAATTGGTTTTGATAGCCTCGACCTTAATTACTGGGCACCCACATTTACATGTACAAATGCGCGTTAGGCTCTTGTTACCGCCCCGACAAGCCGCAGCGGTACATTTTGTGACGAAGCTGCAAATTATGACATTCAGTTACGCAATACTTAAAGAAATTTTTATTTCCCCGACAAACTTGTGTTTGCTTTCATCGGTCTAAAATTATATAATAAAGTAAATATGTACAAATTAGCCAATGAATAATTAAATATATCTTCGTACTCTCTTAGACCTCCCGACCACAATATCGTTAAACACTAATTGACAACGTCTTTTATGATAATTGTAGTAGAAAATAGCTATTAAGTGAACATCCGCCTCGGGCTATATGTTGTCCACTCTATAAAGAATATTTTTAACGAGAAAGTAATCTTAATAAGCTCAGTACAGTGTATCGATTTGCATTTTCAATTTAATACCTACATCTGACGCTTCTGGGAGTGATCAATATTTTGTTCTATTGCCTACAGTGGAAGGAATATAGTCGAACGCTGTTGCCCGGCCAAGTTATGGCGTTTTTCTTACTTTCATCGGTATATTAATTGAGTTAGTCAGCCGTAATAGGGGTGTATCGGTGTTTACTAACCGGGGCGGGCTTAATGAGCGGCTTGTTGCAGTTTGACAGAGTGATTTAATATCGCGGCGTGATCGTTTCAGTAAATCGGGATTAGTTTGGGGTGAGTCCGAAGCGTGAATTATTGCGGGGAATATGCCGCGTTGTCGGTACCGAAATTATATTCTGCGTCAATATCACGTGTGTACAATCAGCTACGTGGCTTTTGCTGTTTCACTAGCGATGCACAACAATAGACCCGGATTCAGAGCCTTAGATGTGATTTTCGAACGTAGACCTCCAATAAATTATACAATTGGAGTGGTTGACCGTGCTCCTACAAATATTTATAGCAGTTCATAAAGTTTCTTAATTGTATTCCTAAATAAGAGTTGAGCAAATCAGCCATTTGTCATCTGCTTGTTGAGAATAATTTGGTAAGATAATGACTTTATAATGATAAAAGGTTATGAATGAATTAGCATTGAATTTTAGTTATTATCGCTAGTAATTAGAGAAGAGGAGAGAAATACTAGATGAAATATCAGGTGGTAAGAGACGGTAAGTGGTTGACAAGCACATCAATTAGTCGGGTACGAGTGTACGGGTGGTAGATAGGCAGAACAAAAGCATGGCAACAACTGGAACGAGTCCCGCGGTTCCGAACGAGGGCCGCATGCAGTTATTAACACAAACAAAGCTGCATGTGTGGGAAGATGTGCATTGTGCGTACTTTTTATTCTTTCGACAATGCCCTCGGCTTGTTATTATTGCATTACCATGCTTTTTTCGATGATATGCCTATGTAAATATAAGTTTCCGTCCAACGATGATTGTGAAACGGTAAAATTGTATAGTTATCTTAAGATACTTTGTAGAGGCTAGTATTTTAGCAAAGTAGACAGCAATAAAGATTATGGTGTAGTTATAAAAATTTATACGTATAAAATATTAACATAAATTATCGGGTTTCGCTGGGGTACAACGTTTCGCCATTAGTGTTGTAGTTTGTTGCGGCTCAGATAACATTCCCGTTTTGCTGTTTCTGTACCAACGTAGGTATACAGCAATTACACCTCAAAGATTTGTTAGCATCGACTACTCATGTGGTACACGCTATGAACGCAGGGAACTCCTGGGACGGTGTTAATGTGGAAATGCTGTTAGCAGGAGTGCTATAATTTAATTACGTTATGTTATTCAAATTACTATTGTATCGTAATAAAGATATTATGGGTAGAGAGCTGTTCATTTTCATATTGTATACCTGCTTTTTTATTAATGGTTATTAATTTCTTTGATCTTCATCTGCATCCTATCTGGATTGAACTCTGTTTTTACCTAAAGTATCAAAATCGTTCTTACGACACAGAAATAAGATCTATTAATTTTTAACAACATTTCATTTCTAATAGACCTAGTAACAAACTTTGTTCTTTCAAGAAGAAAACTGTTGTTTTTTAAAACATTCAAAGACTCTTATATCTAAGTATGTGAGAAGAGAGAGATAATTAATATCGCTTTTGTGTTAGGTGACAATGCAAGCGCCTATATCTTGTACCATTCTAAGGCGAGCGGTTCGCGGCGCCACATCCCGTCCGCCCACGCGCGCACGCATCGCGATCGCAGGCTTTCACAACCACGCTTGCGTACCACGGACTCCGGCCCCCGGCAAGTTATGCACAGCACTATCTAGCTCACTCCAGACGGATTTATTTCCCTTCGACTGCCTTCCAGAGCATGCTAGTCATTTGGCACGTCGAAAATGCTGCTCCAAACGTCGGTTTGACTTGCCCACGTTCTGGTTTGTAAATTAATTTCATGAGGTATGAAATTTTTCTAGGTGCTTGACGTGTTAGAAGTTTTAGAAAAAGTTTTTAGTTTTTTAGAATAAAAAATAAGAAAACATATAATCAGTGATGACAGTTATGTAAATACAAACAGACACTGTAAAAGGAAAGCTTCCAATCAAGGTAGACGAGGTTTTAAAGTCAACTCAAACTATTGTAATAAACTGACGAATCAATCAAGCGTCAATTAAGTATTTACGATCGCAGTGAGTGAGTACAGAAGCTTCCCTTATTTTGTAGCGGGAGGCTGCGTATGACAGGCTTCAGTCAGCGCCGGCAAGCAGCGCGCGCGCACGCGTGTCTCGCACGCACCGGTCGACACGATTCACTTGTTTGTTTACTAACAACCCGATCGATCGACCGTGAGAAACTCCCGCCATACTCATTATGCATATGTTTTTAATTAATGACTTTTATATTTCGCTTTTCACATAAAATACTGATTCGATCAAGATTTTAAATATTCAATTTGATGACTTTCTGTTAGTGAGATGTCAACGCCTCGACCCTTTAATAAGTCGTCGCCGCCACTTTATACGCCTCTGTGGACATAAATAACGTGCATAATGTGACAGATACATTTGTTGCGGCTGCATTCAGGAGTGTTAACCAACTATTCTGCGACATGAAGCCCTCGATGGTTATTGTTTATGTTATCGCGCTTGCGATCGTCGTCGGTGGCGAGATCAGGATCCGCGGCAAAGTAAGAAAAAGGTACACGGCCCACAGGCGGCACCGGGCCGTGCTGCCGCCCTGCGACTTCAATGAGACTATTATCAATGATGAGTGGTCCTTGATGGAAGCGATAGGCAAATCGAAGTACATTTTTACTGGTAAAGTTTTGAATGTGAAGAAGTTTCGTTCCGAAGATAAGTTGACGAAGAAAAAATCGAACTTGTATACAGTGTACTTGCGCAGATTGTTGAAGGGGGATATGAGTGAATTGAGGATGTTTGTTAAGTTAGAAGGATCAGAGGATACTTTAAGTGGTTCCACGTTGTTGGTGGAGCGGCCCCGTGCGCGGGAGTCTTGTGCGCCGGCGCCCAGGCCGCGGCTCTCTGCCATCTTCCTGAGTGACGGCGCCTACGCTGATAAGGGCAGAGGACCCACACCTAGACTGCGAATCCTGACAGACCCAGTACCATTAACATTATACCACTTGGACAGAGTGAATGCTGCTGTTAAAGGTAAGTTGATTTAATTACAAAATAGGATATCATCATCATTTCTGAGCGCAAATTTAAAAATTATTCATAACTAAATCTGTGAAATTCTCACAATGCAAATACCTAGAAAACACATGCAATAAAAATTCATACCATAGCGTAGTGTAGCCGCAATCCAATATAAATAAAACAAATCCAAGCAAAGTAATGCATGCAATCGGTTTAACTTCATACAAGTTACAATAACGCGTGGGTGCTGCGTCCATAGCGTACATAACATCGGGAACGTATTAAAAGTCGATTTTGATCGACATCTTGACAACTGTTCGTTAACTTAATGGAGTGAATGCGATCGGAACGTTTGCTCGGCCGCCCGAGCCCGACATAAACACACGTATACACCGTCGACCATGATCAATCAATGTACACCGCACCAGATTATTGTTAACACAAACGTATTCTAATTAACTGAGCAAACACTCCAAATACCAATGGTAATTGTGAAATAACATCCATTTGATAACAGTGTAATTCGGCCCTAAAGTACCTACCTACCTTTATGTAAACGCAAAATCATTACTTAATTTATTTATCGGCCTCTAACGTTTTCAAGTAGGTATGTACATTTGCGAATTTGCAATAGGTATTACTTAACGTTGATGAAACGCTGCAAATTCCTCTTTTATTTATTACTCCAATATCTTTTACATCTTTTATAAAAGCGGGTTGCCCAGTAGGAAAGAATGTAAATAATATTACGCTGAGATGCTCTTTAATTGAATTCGCAGTGGGTCACGAATAGACTTTATTCCGAGTCAAATACTCCGCAATAAATTTTATTGCGAAAGCCATTTTAACCTAAAAATTCCAAGAAGATCCAATTTAAGCCTCGCATAATCCGACGATGAGATGAATATCGCGGGTTTGGTCCCCGTTGCCGCCGCGTCGACCACTCGACCGCACTAGCCGCACGCTCTCCATACAGAGGTGGGATCGCACGTCCTATCTGACACTACATCGTAGGGATGCGACTGCTGACACGTGACTCTCTGTTCTTATGTATCACTTCTGCGTCGCCTTAGTTAGCGACTGCGACGTCGCCTGCGACCGACCGATCTGTATCAGACCAGAGGCCGCACGATCCGTGGGAATCCTTACAGATAAACTGGGAGTCACACAGACGAACGCGATTTAATCTGCTTCATTAGACATTTAAGGGCTCCAATGCTAAAGAAGCTTGCGTGAGCGTAACTTGATGGCAACAATGGAGATTCTTAAAGATATTTAACATATTATGATCAGTGAGGCAATATATTAAGGAATGCCAATGCGTCGATAGATACGGCGATGCTTCACCGAGCGGTTTCGTATCTAAAGTTATCATCGCAGGAGGCGTTATAGGCTGTAGAGAAAGTAATGACTGAGTGTATTCGTCATGATAGTAGTGTACCACACACGACGCGAGCATCTGATTGCACACTGCGTGCTTGTAATGACTATAAAATTAAAATATCATATGGTTGTAATCTGTTGGGAATACTCAATTATCATCTTGTTATAGACACGGCTACTTACTTAATGCTCTATTAGGAGTACGATAGCGATCTGACGCGCCGTCAATTGTCTTTAACGAAATAAAATGCAACTGATTCAACATTCAAACATTATGTTGCGTCTACTGGGTACATATGACGGTTCGAATTGAGAGGCCATTTTCAATTATCAGAAACCGATGATGACGTGATTTGGAAACAAGTTACTGAGATATTTTGTATGCAGCTATAAAGTAAACAAGTAAACAGACTAGTCGGTGAAAAATGTTACAAAATATAAAGTGCGACGTTGAAGATTCGTCAAGAAAGCGAGCGGCCCGTACTCGCCCGCCCACGCTCGTACCACTTTCCAAATTCCTCGTGTAAGCGCTTGCAATCACCTATGTACGTGCGACGACGACTAACAACATTTTTTAAATCTCGTTTACAGTTCCATTACGGATACTCCTGTTCCTGTCCTGCAATAATTATAATGCCTTTTTTAAACTACTACACATGCATTTGGGTCAATTTATTATTTTTTAATATGAAAAATGTGCTTATTTTATGTGTGAGTGTTTTATCTAAAAACACTATAAATAAATGTATTGAAACAAAAAATATTAGAAACTAAAAAAAAATCTCCAATTATATTTGGAAGCACATTTTGTTGTTAAAATTTTTAGTACCCAGTCGAAACACAGAGAAAGTTTCTCTACTAGTTCACCCCGAATTTGTACATGAATATTCAGGGGTACAGTCGGGCAGGCGTGCGCCACTGTGCACTCGGCAATAACTGTTAACTTGTGCCACGTATTGCTCTATCCTATCTGTTATCTATCTGGAACCACGAGCTCTCTATCGCTACAAACGAATATTCAAATTCTTTTCGTGTCAGATTGCGCAACTAACAGCCTCCAATAAAATGGAAAGCTTTTGCTAATACGGCCCTACACAGGAACACAGATACCTGTACCTACCTAGAAGCCTACTTTCCATTTTAAAACATCTCGTCAATTAGCACGGCCTATACTAATTACCTCCCGAGCCGAGTCATAGTTTAACGTAACGTAAGTCCAAGTTTGTTTACGTTGATGAAGGTTGTATCGAATTGCGAGGTCTCCCAGTACGCGCGCGAGGCTGCGCTAGCGCACGCGTCTCGGTGGCGCCACGCCGACAACTTGCGCAACTTTGTGTTCCATGTGAGTTTACGATCCACATCAAAAGTTTTAACTTATAAGCCACTGAAATGGCTCCGATATAGATATGGCAGTAAACAATATAACAATCAAAATGAAGCTTAAGGTTTTAGTGTTATTGCTTTACTGCTTTACGATAAGTTATGCCCATTTCCGTATAAGGGGTGAAGTGAGGAAACGGGATACGGTTTACCGCAAGAAAGACATAAACGGATCCAAATGTGTTTTAAACGAGACGATAACTAATGACTACGAAATTCTGTCGTCAGCCGTGTCTGAGTCTAAATACATTTTCACCGCCAGGGTCCTGAGCGTGAGGAAGATAAAGCGCGGCACCAAACCCAACGTTAAAGTGTTTATGTTTTACAAGCTGTACATTCGGCTGGTCATAAAGGGGAACATCGAGGAACTGAGAAGTCACGTCGTTTCAGGAGACGAGCGCACTCTGAACGGTGCGATAGTCTTAGTCGACTGGCTTCGTACGAACAAGTGCGCTTACAAACTGTATAGACATTCATCGGGTATATTTTTGAGTGACGGGTTTTTCGAGGAGTCATCCGACAGGAACAAGCCTCGGCTGCGGCTGTTGAACGAGCCTCTTCCACTGTCACTCTATGATTTGGACAGAGTGAATGCCGCGTTGAAAGGTAAATATTGACAGTGCTGTAAGGTGTCGGCGTCTGTGACCACTACTTGTGCACACAACTTATAAACTCATGTGCTTTTATTGTGCTCTTGTGTGCATTTAGACTTTATATTACTTCTCTATGGTTTTATATCTATGACACTTTCGTGTAAGTACACATTTATGCTTAGCTACATTCTGAGAATACTTGATGGCTAATTAAAACGTATTCCTCGTTTTATTCTAGTGAAAATTAAACTAGCCTGAAGTTATTTTTATGAAAAGCTGGTAAAAGCTTTTACATTTATGCATAACATCGCGGCAACTGTCTCGCTCATGATTAACGGTGACGGTAGATAGCAAAAATAAAATTTCGTGTATTTAACGAACAGGACGAAACAAAAGGCTGGCACATACTTTTGAAAATGTTTGACAGCGCAGTTTTTATCGGACTTTGGCAATCGGGCACATATCATACGTTTGTTTGTTGACGTGTGCGCGCATAAACTACTCAGATCTTTTGGATTACACGTTATCCTATCTGACGAATTTTATTTTTTTATTGATTTATTTGTTTTTTACTTGATGGTATTATTACGTCATGCTGCATATTTGTCGGCTCTATTGGGTATGATAATTTGTAGCACAGTTTCACTTCTATGTCTGAGTCAAGAGCTGGGCAAGGTCGAGTGTGTCAGTGGCATTATCCACCTACTCACTTGTTTTATCATAACAGAATCGAAATTGGCTCTGACAAAATATTGCCATAATTTATCATAAACCCTTTTGTCAAAGTAATAATGACGACGTTGAAATTCATTTCAGGTGTTTGTTCTAGTTTGAATACCATTTGCATCATTTAAATTAGGTATCTAGGTTCTAATTTTTTTTGGTATAGATAAAATTAAAGTTGATTTCTCGAAGAATGGTCTTTTCTAAGCCTAAGAGTAATAAGTATGTTGAAATTAACATTAAAGTAAAAGCCTGCGTGCAATTATAGGTGAGGTTGGAAAAAGTAAAAATTTTAAATGGGACATTTGCAGTGTCATTATGGGCTCAAGCGCGGCCGTGGGCGGGGGAACGCGCCATACCATGCAATTTACTCAGTCGAGGACGAAGACATAATGTCTTATGGTCTATTAGGTACCATTACATGTCTACCTACATCTCAACGCCAACGGTTCCTAAATGGACGCAGTAAACATTACTGATGTATTTACAAATCGAATTTAGGTGTTTGTGCATGTACTTGAATGTTTGCCGTGGACGCCATCAAAGGGATCGCGGTTTTGGCAGTTTCCTTAAAAATTAAGCTTCTAATTTACGTTTGTTGTTTACTTAAAACTACTGAGGAATGTTTCCTACATTTTTTTTCGCCTTAAAGCTAAGTCTAAAAGAAAAGAAATCACTCACAGTTTACGTAATTATTTACCAACTAAAAATTAAAAATTCGTACAAAAAATTTAATTACAACTTTTCTGTTTTTTAAGTCAAGTTCTAGTGGTTTTGGAGAATGATTAAGCACGAAGCATTTTCACGTCACTTTATGAGGTGATAGATAAGAATTATTACAAGTTTATATGGTACATTTTATTCAATTCAAATACGTAGGTACTGTACCATCGCCCACATGTCAATGACATGATTTATTGTTCCGTCCAACTTCTTCGATAACAAACTCTCGTAGGTTATTCTCGTAATAAGTAAGATAGTTAAAAAGAACACATAAGACTATAGTTTGCTAACAGGTTTCTTAAGGTAATCACGTAATAATCTTCTTAATATTTTTCCACTCGGTGTCTTCGGTATGTCTTCTACGAAATAGACACCACCTCTCAATTTCTTCCACGACGACACCTGAAAAATAATATGATTAGTTTTCTTGTAAATTATTAACAAACAGTACGAAAATTATACTTTGGGTCATGTTATAACCAAAAATTTATAATCATTAAAATTTACATTGTTTTGAATTCTAATATTGGTTATAAAAGAGCTTAAGTTCGGTTTTCGTTTATTAGATTTCGACATTAAGGGTATCTGAAATTAAACTTTATTTATTGTATAACATAATACTATAATAGTGACACCTCTGTCAGCTTAGGAAATATAAGACTAGATTTTGTGTTGAACAAAAACTGTTTCGTAATCAAACAAAAAATGTTTTCCTTTCGCAGTACATAGTTCCGTGGATTTTATTACGTTTATTTTTTGTGGACCGATTTTGATCCGCTTAGGAGCGCTTTGAGTGTTGTTGAGTCACAGATTAAACACTTTCTAGAAATCACAGAAGGTACATTGTAAGCGTAGTGTAGATACCGTTGAATATAACTTGGAAGCAAATTCTATTGGGTACGTGTTTAAAGACATTTTTAATGCTACGAATAGGGACGATTTTCGTTTGGAAAATGATTTTATGTTTAAGGGTAAGGGCATTAAAAATGTGAAACAAAAATTAAAATGTCGTGGCAATGCGGTGGCTTATGAGGGTTCGAAATCTGGCAAGTACCAATGTGACTATTTCCAAATTATATGTACTTGCTATGATTATTTAGACACCACTGACACACGGTCAAGGTAAACATCGTGAGGAAACCTGGACTTATAATTTGTAATTATAAGTTTGATATCGCCAACCAGCATTGAGCAAGCGTGGTGATCAATGCTCTAACCTTCTCCGTATGAGAAGAGGCCTTTGCTCAGCAGTGGGCACTTATAGGCTGATGATGATGATGATGACGATGATTAAAAATGTAACATAACGTATAATCAGGTTCTCAAAGACAAAAAAATATAATAAGTACAAATATTTTTTCTGCTCTTGAGGATTTGATCTAATAATAAAGGATTTTGAGTAGGTATAATTATATCGTGTAAAATATCATGTGCCTCTGTTGATTAAATTGCATGCACCTATGTTATTTAAGTAAATACAATATAATATTGTATAAGTAAGCTAAACTTTTTTTGTGTACGTAAAATTATTGAATATACCTATTTATAAAAATTAGCACAGATAGATATTCTGGAATAACACTTAAGCTCATTTTTATTCGAATTACGCAGGTCAAGCTGCTTGCAGAAGATTGTATTTTCAAAATAATAGCTATAATAAGTCACTAACATTTTGTTGGATCTATTCTTATACAATTATGGCAGAGCATGCCTTGGCACTAATGGGTCAGCTCGATCTCAAGTCATCTACCCCCCCATCTGTATAACTTCAAAACCCTTATCACCAAAAAGCTGATAACGCGCCGATTACCTACCACCAGGTAATCCACATACTCGTTTATTGCTTTTTTGCACAAAGAAAAACAAATACATATTTATTGTGATAGGCACAACACATTGTTTGATAAGCTAAAAATTATATTGCATATTAGTGTGTTATAATTTCTTTGATAATCTTGTCTATAATACATCACTATTAGGCTGCAATAACAAGACGACAATGTGTCAATTGATAAGTGCACGTGGATATACTTACTTGTAACGTAAATACCCATTGTTATAATTGGAGATACCAATGATAGTGATATCTATTACGTTCATTTCGTCGATCGTACTTTATCGATAAAACAGAAATTATTGTTTATTTGTTTGTACAACGGGGGGCTTATTCATAAAATCATCAATCTTTGCATTTGATAATTTGATTTCTAATGGTTACATGATTAATCTAGATATGTCAAGACACTACTACTATTTTTTGGGACCGTCCAGCCACCGCAACACCACTGCAATTACGATAAGTCAGGATCTTTTGTAGATAAAACTATTAAACACTGAAACACTGAAGTCCCGGGGATTAATCATATCCCCGGGACTTCCGGATCCGGACTCCGGGATTGTCTTGGATCGCACAACGAAATAAATCAGAAGATGTTATTAGAGGAGAAAAAAACTCAATGGTCCACTCCTCTAGGTGAATTTAATGAAGGCGCCAGAGTGACTTCATTCTAAAAGGCCGTCTGTAAGTACCACGAAAATGTTTCTCTAACCAATGACGAATTAGTTTCTAAAACTAGTAATAGTAGTAGTCAATACGAACTTTTAATTCCCTTGGCCGTTGTTAATTGAAAAATTAAACACAATTTTCTTTTTAAATAATTAAATAGTTTAAAAACTACCCTATTACTATGCCTGGGATTATTGCCTTTATATTGCTACTTGATATATATTTATGTGAACAAGCAAGAGCTTGTTCACATAAATATATATCAAGACAAAGTATATGTTTTAGTAAATAAGCTAAGAAGCTTATTTACTAAAACATATACTTTGTCTTGATTGAAAACCGAAGTCCAGTTGTAACATTTAACTCCGAATTTCATAAACCATTGCAATAAACTTTAATCATCATATTATTTTCTCTACTATAAAAACAATTATTTGGTAATAAATAAATAATATAAAACCTATTTTATCTAATCTCATGTTATTTTGGTGTGGCCATTCATGAATTGCCTTGTCATGCCATGTACTTATATTTTAATCTCAATCTTATAGCTTTATTGAATGCACACACACATGTCATATTGTATTATACATTATGTATCTGTATTAAGAACTTAGGGCATATTTATAGTTTTGTGGGATGATCTGCGGCCACCGTAAGCGCGGGTCTGCGGACGGCGAGTAAGGGTAGCTCGCCGCCCGACCAGAACTGGACCCGAGCGTACGGCGCGTAGCGTTCCGCGCGCGCCTCAAAGAGCCAATAGACCACCACAGTCGGGGCCCTAAAGGGCTGATGTTTAGCCGGGGCTGCGGGGTAAGCGCAATGAGGCACCGCGACCTCGGCCCAGAGCAGGAGAAGGAACGGGGGGGTTTTTAGTCAGTAAGAGTCTGACACTCTCTCTCGCCTTACCCTGGGCGGTAGAAGTCATTGGATGATTTGCCCCTGACAAAAAAAAAAAAAAAAAAAAAGTGCATATTTATAGTTAGTGACATGACTATACCATCCAGTCTTATAAGCATAATTGTTATAATTTAGAAAAACCAAATATGAAATATTTACCGAATAAAAATAGAAAATTTTTTCATGAATACCTTTTCAAATTAAGGATTTCCGTTTTTCAAAGCCTGATTTTATAACCTTATTTAAAAAAAAATGCAACAAACTGGAAATAAAGCCTGCATATTTTTCGTATTATTTATTTAGTGTGTGAATTTATCAAGTTGATTAAATTATCTAGACAGATATTTTATATCATGCCTACCTATATTTTTTAAACATAGTTACATCAAAAATATTCTTAGTTGAAATAAAAATCATTATTGTCTTTGGTAATACAGTGAAAAGTGCAGGCTCTGTTAAATTATAATTTGTTAAATACCCATATTACGAATGAGGTTGTTTAATTAATATTAACTTTAAAAATAAGAATGACATGCAATAACATGAGAACTGGCCTCTACTCAATACATATTTATTAGCTACTGCCCGCGCCTTTACCGTCGTTGCCCAGATAAAAATTATGCCTATGTATGTGTTACACCAGACTATAATCTATCTCTGTGCCAAATTTCAGCCAAATTCATTCAGTAGTTTTAAGGTGAAAAAGTAAGAAACATTCGTAGATGACGAATGTTTCTTACTTTTCCGTCCATTATCCAAACATTTGGCGTTTAAAATAATGTTATTAGGATGAAATATCAACAATTTAATACTTGTATGATAATTACCGTTTACATTAGGGCTTTAAAATAATAAAGCTTTACTCAGTTATTTCACTTGAGTAAGTCGTCATATTCATTATATTTAAAACTTACTTTATCAGCTACAAAGTCAACTAATTCCTTGTCAGTGACCGTCGATCCTGGCATTTTTACCACGAAGGCTGTTGGGAGTTCACCCACCATAGGATCTGGTTTGCCTACAACTCCTACATCTTTAACACCTGGATGCTGAAGTAAAATTGCTTCTAGTTCTGAAGGAGCAACCTGAAATTATTCATCTATTAACAAATTTGAACAATTATTTATAATTCCCAATGCTTTTATTGCAATACTTACTTGCCCAGCCTTATACTTAATTAATTCTTTAATTCTATCTACAAAGAAAAAGTAGCCATCTTCATCGTAGTAGCAGATATCTCCAGTTCTGAAATACCCTTCGTCATCTAATTCGTCTTTTAAGTTATTTCCAATGTAGCCTCCGAATAACGTCGCACCCTTTACGCGAACTTCACCTTCTTGTTTAGGCCCTAACGCCTTACCAGTTTCAATGTCTGCTATCTACAACACCATTACATTAAATTAGTACTTCAAGTTGAAAATATTTTAATGGAATTAGTTTTATGTTTTTACCTTTACGATGTTTCCAATTGCAATCTTGCCGACACTTCCTGGTTTACTTTCGGTGTCTGTCTCTTCAGTTAGGGTTCCCGTTACTTCTGTCATTCCATAGCCTTGTAGAACGTGTTTTAGACCTTTGAATCTGTCAAGTTTATTCCGAATCAACATTTTATTACTAGATTTTAATATAAGTAATAATTGTCTGTAGTAGCTATTAAAGATGCTATCGTACCTTTGCTTAACTTCATTGATCACACCTAAATCTAGAGGTGCCCCTCCACTGTATATAAATTCAACGGAGCTTACATCGTAATTCTGTATTATTGGTGATTTTGTAAGCGCAACTACCAATGGAGGAACTGCTAATAGTACTCCAACCTGAAGATCGAACAACAATTTTAATCGAGAACGGTAATCGATTTGTAATTCGTAATGTAATTTTACTTACTCTATATTTTTGAATATATGACAGGTATTGCTCTATGTTGAATCTAGTCAGGTATACAATGGTACGGTTGTGGACTAGCTCATCCATTGTGCTCATGATACCAAATGTGTTAGACCACGGTGCGTTAGACAGGAAGACTAGGTCTTTCGTGATGTGGCTGCAAAGAAGGCTAGGTTTAATAGTCATACCATTTTTGAATAAGGATATAAGTTCATGGAAATCTGATATGTGTAATGAACAGATTTATTGAAAATTATAATTATTATTATCTTCCAAGGTAACTTAAAATGCATATATTAAGTAGTAAATTTGTAGTACGAAAGTTTCAATATTTATCGTTCAAAGCTATCATCATTATGGGCCTATAAGTGCCCACTGTTGAGCAAAGGCCTCTTCTCATATGGAGAAGGTTAGAGCATTAATCACCACGCTTGCTCAATGCGGTTTGGCAATTTTAAACTTATAATCATAAATTATAAGTACAGGTTTCCGCACGATGTTTTCCTTCACCGTATGTCAGTGGTGTCTAAATAATCATAGAAAGTACACATGTATAACTCGGAAAAAGTCACATTGGTACTTGCCAGGTACCCACACCCTCATGCATGAGAAGCGGGATCCGTAACCTCCGGGCCACCACGACTTCGTTTAAAGCTATTTATAGGTAATGAAAAATATATTTTTTACCTGGGTTGGTTAGTAGTAGTGATTAAGTTTAAATGCGTCAGCTTTGCTCCTTTAGGCAGTCCCGTTGTACCGGATGAATAGAGAATTAAGGCTGTCTGTGCCAATCCTATTTAATTAGCAGTTATTGTGAAACTTGATTCATAGCTAAATTATTTACAATAGGTACTATTATAGTGTAATTCTCAAATTAAGATTCTGACGGTTTTGTTAAACAAATTAGTATCATGATTAGCTTTTAATTCTTCGTTTTCTTGTTTTGAACAAATCCATAAATATTCAAATATATTTGTAAATAATGATAAAAGGCCCAAATATATATAGTACTTCATTAATAAATATTTCTTACCATTAACAGGATCACTAACCGGTTTGAAGTTATCAATATTAACATACGTCTTAATTAAGTCGTTAAACTTCGAAATCGTAGCATCGTTGACGGAATCGCCAAAAATGAAGAATTTTTCAACAATTTTTGTTCCAACAATAGTAGAATAAAATTGGTTGTGAGTTTCAGGTGAAAGGAAGACATATTTCGGTTTCGATATTGATATTGTGTGTTCCAATTCATCTGCGAACAGAATGATATATCATTTGTTTAATATTTCACAAAGAAATACAAAATTAAAAAATAACTTCGTTATTTATGTAAACATAGAAATTCGCAAAGGAAAGTTTTCTCCGGCACAGAAACTAAATCGAATCATTACAAAACAAAACGAGAAATGTAAAGACACTCACTCTTGCTGTAGGCGGGGTTGAGAAAAGTGACGGTAGCACCACTACACCACGTAGCGATTGTAGTAATCAAGAATTCCGTTCTGTTCTCACTGCACACGGCAACCACTTCATCACGTTTCACACCTAAGCGTATTAACGACGATGCCGCGTTCACTACCAACTGCACCAGCTCAACGAACGTTATTTGTTGCCCCGTCTTCCCATCGATCTTTGACAGCCAAAACACGTTTAATCAACATCACATCTTCATTAAATTAATTCCTATTATCAACACAAGTAAACCTTACCAAAGCAACTTTGTCTTTAGCTCTTAACATGCGGTCAATAGCAAGTTTGCCATAATTCATGTGTGATGGTATCCAACATGGCTGATCTTTGTAAATAATTCCGCGTATACTTTCGGTTGAAGTCATGCTGATTGTGTGAAGTGTCTCCGATTCGAAAGACGTGTATCAACTGACGCTTTCGGACAAGATATCATGTTTATGTAACTAATGAGCGTTTTGTTTGCGCTGATAAAATTCACGTTACCTTGACAGATAAAGTTGTACTCAGAAGATAGTAATAAAAATAATACTTTTAAGAGTATTATAATAAGAAATATATAATGTGTCACATGTTTCAAACTTTTTATGTTCCCATAATCCTGTAATCGCTCAATGTATAATATATATAAAAACCATATGTTTATTAATAGCATCATAAATATATTAAATAAATACCGAAAGCTTATATCAATACCATTAACAAACTAATATTAATTTGTCTTTATAATGTTTAATTTTAAATTTAGATAGCCTTGATAGGTGCTTTGTCATATACCTAAATATATAAAGGTATATCAATGCAGAAAGAAAATGTTCTTAAAATTTTTAGGTTCTATACAAATGTAGGTATCAAACATTCTCCCTTGACTACATCAATACAAGATGTATAGATAGTATATATAGCACTGATGCTATGTAAGTGACAACATAGAGTTATATATACATGTTATATGTATATTCCAGTACCGCACTGGGTCAGGTTAAGCGAATTAAGGTGACGAAGCTAGCCTAGCTTGCTAAAACGAGGTCTGTACATAACATAAACTAGTTTGAAGCCTCAGCTTGTCATATCTAGATTTCTTACCTCTTTCGAGGCGGTCGTTGGAATTACATTTTCAAATTATTTTCTTGTTTAAATCAGCACAGTTATTTAAATTGTCTTTTGTTGATTTGTAATTGCGATTTTTTAACTTGATTTAATAAGTATGAATATTTCATTTTGGGAATTGTAAATTTATCGATGTTTAATTTAAATTGCGATTTTTATGTATTCATCAAAAAAATATCTAATTCTCGAGTAAGTATTGTAAAATAATTATAATCGGAAGGTAATTTATTTATATTGCAGTAAATGTTTTTCTTTTTATTGACATTGTCCCACACTAGGATTTTCTCCTGTTTCGTGGGTGCATTTACAAACATACATATTCACATACAAACCACCCAGACCGGAAACAATTTGTGGATCACACAAAGTGTTGCTCCGAGCAGAAATCGAACCTATATACTTTGCACAGCAGCTAGTTGCCCAGCCACTGTGCCAACCGTTTTTTATGTGAGGTGAAAATCATCAAATGACTTCTCCAGCCCAGGGTAGGGAGGGAGAGAGTGTCAGACTCTTACTGACTAAAACCCCCCACGTTCCTTTTGTTGACCTGGGCCGAGGCTGCGTATCTCAGTAGAGTTTTTCTCTGCAGTCATAATTATAGAGTACCTAGTACTTTTATTATATCTTTCGTGAGACATTCTAAATTAATTATTATGTTTTCGGTTTACTCACGTGTGAATATGGGCCTCTAGCATGGCTTGAAACTATAGTCGAGTATCTCGTCAAATTATTACGTGAGTAAGCCGAAATCATAATAATTACCTAGTACTTGTTACTTTAACGTAATCCAAACGTAACTGCAATCAGAAGCTCGAACGTCATAAACGTATCGATCGCTATAACGTAAATCAAACTCGCACTGGGCACTCAGGTTATTGAAGGAAGGTATCAAAGTATTATGGGTAGGTATTATGGTATGATGTAGACTAAGATGGGTAGGGATATACTCCAATCGTAAAACTTCTAACTAGCTAAGTACATCAATTTATAATATAATAATAAAACCGTATAAGAGAGATTTTTGTTAGAAAAATGAAACAAATTTGTAATATTGTAAATGATGTCTGACCAGTATTTAAATAATGGTCTGTTTCACAATCTGCTGTTATGAACCATACATTATACAAAAATTACTTATGTGCCACATAAGTTTATCGTAAACTTAGAAGGTAGCAGTCAAACCGGCACGATAGTTAAGTAGTAAGTTAAGGTATCTGTTTTCGGCAATAGCTGTTCTAACGATACTGCATCTTCGTCAAAATTACACACGATAGACTGTCTATTGTCACATTAATTCCCAATTTCATTCTTAGCTATTTTTTTGAGGGCGGAATGTTATCAAACGATTTTTCCCACCCTGGCTTAGAGGAAGTGTTACTGACTTAAGATCATAAGGTTCCCTTTCCCATTCCGGGCCGTTGCCGCGTTATATTACTGTGCTTGCACACGCCAATCCGGCTGGACATTATCGACCTTGTTGGGCAGATTTATAACGTAAAACCAACATTAAAATATCCAGAATTACCTATTTTAAAACATAAAAAGATTAAAGAAAAAAATCTACTACTAACTAAAAGCTAGATACATAATAATAGTGAATGTTGTTTTAAATAACAAAATTAACATGCATATTGAATCTCGTTGTCAATATATCTCTCTGTAGGTAATCTCTGATCGACGCACATGTACTGTTTCTGAATGTGCACACGTGCATATAATTGTAATCCTTATGCTAAACCTATGGGGCACGCATGCGTAGTCGTTTAGTAGCGCCCGCCCTATATGCTAAATAAAGCAATTTAAAATAAACGTAGGTACACCAATTTTATTTGTTTTAAATTTTATGGTGGCCTGTATGATACATTTTGAAGCACTGAAATATCATTAAGGTTTGAACTCAACCAACCTTTGTGAAAGAATATAAATTCAACCCAAATCAGTAAGTAGCAAGTACAGACATAGTTTGGACTCGAGAAAGGACATAGGTTACTTTGTAAACCAATATCTGTAGGAAGTCACTATTTCACGCGAACAAAGTCGCGGGCAAAAGCTAGTAACATATTAGTTTAACAGTTGAAATTAAACTCAGTTTTTTGGGCATGAATATGAGTCTCTCGAGTGGTCTGACACTAGGTGAGGTTATATCATATCATCCTAGGTAGTAGCTATCTAAATAAGTTCCTAGGTTCGAATGTAAGAAAGCCGTCAAACATACTTAATAACGTTATTTTAATATTTAAAAATGTGTGTTAATTATATTTCTTCACAGTACATGTTTTGTTCAATACAATAACAAGGTATCTACGTACTCCTATATTATCACAGAGATAAATATATGGTCATATTTTAAATGAAAGTATTTTATCTTCATATCTTTATTCGTCACGTAAAACTGATCTATTTGATATCTAATCTGGCAAAAATACCATGTATAAAAATATTACGTATTCTCAGATAGGTAATAAAATTGTTTGTCACTGGTTAAAATGTACGATTTTTTATAATACGTTCGCCTTGAACCAAGTAATTTTTAAAATGTCTTAAAATAACATATTACTTCCGTTTATCTTGTTTTTCTACCCATTTCTTAATATAATACTAGTTCAGAAATTAAGTGTTTAACAATCATTTGTGATAAAAAAATCTGAATATTTTATCGAAAATGTCACTGCATATGACATGTGATAGCCATTACATGCATATTTTTATGTCGCAAAAATAAAATGCACTAGGACATTTTTTGATTGGAATTGATTTAAACCTAAAAAAATCCTAGAGACACCTAAAATCTGTGGCTACATAATTATATGTAAATAAAATACGTGATGTTAAGTAATGTTATATTTATATACAGTAAACACGAGAACTGAATATCTAAAATGTTTTGTATATCTTCAGTCTGTTCCACTTACAATGAAATCTCGGATGTGCTTTCCAAACATTCAGCAGATGTCTACTTAAGCATTTCTCACGCATTCAAATGTCCGCATTATCCGTATAATATAATAATTCTGAGTGTATCTACGGTTCCAGTGGATGCACGCTACATTAACTTACTCGTGGACTTGGATTGTTGTGGGTAAACGTAATTTGTTAGTACGTTGCTGCGTGTGCGCAGGACCGGCTCGCCTACGCGCAGCGCCTGCGACTCTCAGTGACTCTTCTCACGCCGTGACTCATGCACCATGATTATTTTGTACCTTATAAATATCGATGGCGGTTTACTTGAAATAAAGCCGGTTGCGACCATTTCAATATCAGGAACATACATATTTTATTGTCATAAACTCTCTTTCACTTTCTGTGAGGTTTTCTGTGTCTTAACAACATCAAAACATGCATCTAAATATTTGTTTACAATCGTTTTCAACTCGCGTTTTATTTCACTTCAATAAGCTTTGTTTACCATTCTTATACCTGATGGTATTACAATTTGATAACATTATGCTAATAAAACTACAGAGCAGGGTAAATGACTACTTGTTTATACAATTTTTATTACATGTATTAAGTACATGAACATGATAGTACCACGCTACCCGCTATGACCTACCAGTACTAGTTTATGGCTTTAATGTTAGTGATCTCTTGACTATTTGAGGTCAGTCCCGCTAGGATGGCTCCATGTTTACTCAATAAAATGACCCCCTGTAGTGATGGGACAATTCATGGTAATGTCCGGGGACCGGTCGACTCCTCGAACATAATGTCCTGATTCATTAAGCTATCGGAAGATTACACTGCGGTGGTCGCTACTCTCAAAGTAATGACCCCGACGTATTTAGACGCAACTGAGCTCCGACGATTGCGGATGAAAGTTTAATAATAAATCGATTCATAACTATTTTCGATATTCACTTTGTGTTTGTTTTGTGGGGTCTGTATTTGACGGAGGAAAATGTTGGTAAAAGGTTGCTTTTTATAGTAGACTACGACAAAATGGGTACGTTTTTTTTAACAATTTTTAGTTGTATTTGCAGAATTTCAAATAATGTGATTGTTTACTTTTTGGTATGGATATGTGTGTTTTTAAGAGTATTTATATGAAATTGCTAAAGCTGCCATGGTTAACGCAATCCCCGAAGACAAATAATATCAGTAAGACTATCTAACAAAATGAAACTAAATATAATCTTTCTATTTCTGAAGATCCAAAAACCTGAACGTAAATATTTTGTTGTGTAAAGTTTATTAATATATCGAACGAGAATATAACAAGGTTTCTGTATCGCGATAAATATGGTATATTGGTGGGTGTATGTATACTCAAAATATGGATATTCAGTCGGTTACGTCATAACAATCTCTCGCCT